GTCGTTCCATGTCCAGATAAAAGCACGGAAGACGCTGCTCCTTTTGCCGGCATTCTTTCGCAGAGGCAATATCGTAGTCTATGAGGTTTATCCGAGACGTGATCTTTGCTGGTTGAAAACTTTACCCAATACCCCGCTGGGATGACTTGAAATATAGTCAGCCTTGGCAATTTTTGACGGTCTCTTAGGAGGCTTTGAGACTTGTTGAAAGAACAGAATTGTGCTTTCGCTCCTTGAAAGTGCTGCATTCACTGTGACGGCGAAGACATGAGCTTGAAGACGGTTGGTGTAGTCAGTATTTGGACCTCCCTTAGAATGTGTTTTTGTATTTATAAAGGTCATATCCATGCAACAGGGGCCTTCTTGTTTTGATCCTGTCCTCGACAATGTTTTCAGAAATGAACAGGTGCTTTTTCTGCAGCTACAATTAAAATGAAATTCAGCTAAAGCTTGCCTTGAGGGGCACCCCTGCAGTTGACCTGTTCGCTAGGCTCTCTGTTTCTGCAGCTATTTTAAGGATGACGTCGTTAAAGTTGGCAGCAAGGTCCTTTGCCAGGCGCACTTGTCTCTCTCGAAACACTAAACACATCAAACGACAAGGATGGGATTCGAACCCACGCGTGCAGAGCACAATGGATTAGCAGTCCATCGCCTTAACCACTCGGCCACCTCGTCACTCGCCTGCATGTGTTGCCCGAAGCTGGGCTGTGGTGTGTTTCTGCCGCTATATTAAGGATGACTTTGCTAAACATGGCAGGCCGGGTACATTGAACGGCTTTGCCAGGCACACTTGGCTCTCTGAAAACACTAAAGACATCAAACGACGAGGATGGGATTCGAACCCACGCATGCAGAGCACAATGGATTAGCAGTCCATCGCCTTAACCACTCGGCCACCTCGTCACTCGACCAAGCCTGTTTTCCCGAAGCTGGGCAGTGGTGTGTTTCGGCAGCTATTTTAAGGATGATGCTGTTAAAGTTGGCAGCAAGGTTCTTTGAATGGCTTTGCCAGGCGCACTTTGCTCTCTCGACACATTCAGCTAAAGCTCGCCTTGAGGGGCACCTGTGCGGTTGACGTGTTCACTACATTTTCTCTCTGTTTCTGCAGCTATATTAAGGATGATGTCGCTAAATTTGGCAGGTAGGGTACATTGAACGGCTTTGCCAGGCGCACTTGTCTCTCTCGAAACACTAAACACATCAAACGACGAGGATGGGATTCGAACCCACGCGTGCAGAGCACAATGGATTAGCAGTCCATCGCCTTAACCACTCGGCCACCTCGTCACTCGCCTGCATGTGTTGCCCGAAGCTGGGCTGTGGTGTGTTTCTGCCGCTATATTAAGGATGACTTTGCTAAACATGGCAGGCCGGGTACATTGAACGGCTTTGCCAGGCACACTTGGCTCTCTGAAAACACTAAAGACATCAAACAACGAGGATTCGAACCCACGCATGCAGAGCACAATGGATTAGCAGTCCATCGCCTTAACCACTCGGCCACCTCGTCACTCGACCAAACCCGTGTTCCCGAAGCTGGGCAGTGGTGTGTTTCGGCAGCTATTTTAAGGATGATGTTGTTAAAGTTGGCAGCAAGGTTCTTTGAATGGCTTTGCCAGGCGCACTTTGCTCTCTCGACACATTCAGCTAAAGCTCGCCTTGAGGGGCACCTGTGCGGTTGACGTGTTCACTACATTTTCTCTCTGTTTCTGCAGCTATATTAAGGATGATGTCGCTAAATTTGGCAGGTAGGGTACATTGAACGGCTTTGCCAGGCGCACTTGGCTCTCTGAAAACACTAAAGACATCAAACGACGAGGATGGGATTCGAACCCACGCATGCAGAGCACAATGGATTAGCAGTCCATCGCCTTAACCACTCGGCCACCTCGTCACTCGACCAAGCCTGTTTTCCCGAAGCTGGGCAGTGGTGTGTTTCGGCAGCTATTTTAAGGATGATGCTGTTAAAGTTGGCAGCAAGGTTCTTTGAATGGCTTTGCCAGGCGCACTTTGCTCTCTCGACACATTCAGCTAAAGCTCGCCTTGAGGGGCACCTGTGCGGTTGACGTGTTCACCACATTTTCTCTCTGTTTCTGCAGCTATATTAAGGATGATGTCGCTAAATTTGGCAGGTAGGGTACATTGAACGGCTTTGCCAGGCGCACTTGTCTCTCTTGAAACACTAAACACATCAAACGACGAGGATGGGATTCGAACCCACGCGTGCAGAGCACAATGGATTAGCAGTCCATCGCCTTAACCACTCGGCCACCTCGTCACTCGCCTGCATGTGTTGCCCGAAGCTGGGCTGTGGTGTGTTTGTGCCGCTATATTAAGGATGACTTTGCTAAACATGGCAGGCCGGGTACATTGAACGGATTTGCCAGGCACACTTCGCTCTCTGAAAACGCTAAAGACATCAAACGACGAGGATGGGATTCGAACCCACGCGTGCAGAGCACAATGGATTAGCAGTCCATCGCCTTAACCACTCGGCCAAAAATGGGGCAAAAGGGACTGCCCGGCGGAGGGGAAAAAAGAAAAGAGAGAGGAAAGAGGGGGGGGGGAAGAGAAAAAGAAAAGGAGAAAAAATGAGCAAAACGTACACATATATAAATTTGTATCTACTTTCTGTCCTTGTTTACACACAGTTTTGCACTTTTTGCAAGGTTTATCATCACTTTAATTTCTTGTCTCTTGCGGGATTCGAACCTATGCCATGGCAATATCGCTTGCATCTTCGCATTCCGGAAGTACTAAATACAATGCATTTGGGGTAACGTAGTCATTTTTAACACAGGAAATGGTAAATGGTAAATGGACTGCATTTCTATAGCGCCTTCATAGACCTAATGGCCACCAAAGCGCTTTACATTTTGCCTCACATTCACCCATTCATACACTCATTCACACACCGACGGCGGTGTCAGCCATGCAAGGCGCCATCCAGCTCGTCGGGAGCAGCTGGGGTTAGGTGTCTTGCTCATGGACACCTCGACACTTGGTCAGGTGGAACCGAGGATTGAACCACCAACCTTTCGGTTCGTAGACAACCCACATGAACCACTCTTTTCCATATAAATCATCACAGTAATAACCCTGTGATTATGCAGTTATGGACATGTATGCATTTAAAGCAAAGAGTGTTTTGTGAATAAATGTAAAATGATTCTGCAAGTAATTCTGGCTTTAGTTTTAACAATCACATTCAATGGTCCTGGTATTCAAGAGGAAAATAAATAAAAACGTGTAGTCTGTTCTTGGCTCAAAATTATTAAACTTTATTGTAATAGACAGACAACAGAGACAGACAGAGACAAACAACAGAGAGATTTATAGACAAATGAGAGAGAGACAAGTTATACAAGATTATACACTCTTCCTCCAGTCATCCAGGGTCAGTCCTGATGCTGGGCAGTACCACCGCCCCTTCATCTGGGTGTGTCCAGTTCTTTTATTTTTTTCCTGGCCACACCCCTTGCAGGTGTAATGGTAGTTTTCTTTTGTCAGCCTCTTCCGTGGCGGTTCCCCCCTTGACACAAGCTCCTCATCCTCCTGGGCAGCTTTATTCAGCCTCCAGGCACGTTGCCTAGGCTGGGATGGAAGGGACTCTGGAGGAGCTTGCTGCAATGGAGAAGCATGCGGGTATGGAGGAGCATGCAGGTATGGAGGAGCATGCGAATATGAAGGAGCATGCGCATATGGAGGAGCATATGGATATGGAGGAGCATACGGATATGGTGGAGCATACGGATATGGAGGAGCATATGGATATGGAGGAGCATACGCAAATGGAGGAGCTTGCTGCAACGGAGGAGCTTGCTGGGATGGAGGAGCTTGCTGGAAAGGAGGAGCTGGCCCAAATTGTGGAGGGAACTGGGGAGGTGGAGATGGCGGAGAGAACACAGGCTTACTTGCTGCTAGAGTGCGCTGGCGGGGGAAAGCTTCCCCCTCGTGGTTTTCAGGCTCCTCAAATGTCATCACTTCATGTGCATGTTGCACAGGGGCAGCTGGAAGTGAGTTCATTGCAGGGAGAGGCTCCTTGGCCAGGTGGAGCTGTTTGGGAAGTACAGTGCCTTGCAGCAGCATGTCCCTGTCCTTCCTTTTATCCCTCCTTAGCAGCCTACAAGACAAACATTAATTATTTTATACATGTAAGCCTGTCCTCCCTCTCTAAGGTTATTACATACTTTCTAACAAGCATGCAGGTGGATGTTTTTCTTAAGGTTAAATCTTTATATACTGTCTTGACTGTATGGGAAAGGTAAATGAAATAACACAAACCATGAAGAGACTGTGGTGTTGTTAACCGGCACCAGAACCAGGTTCGTCTGGTCCAGGACAACCCTGCTGTCCTCCAGCAGCTGTTTGATGTGGCTGTAGACGCTGACAATGGACTGAGGGATGGGCATGGTTTTCCCCTTTGTGTCCTTTGGCCTGTTGCGTGACTGCTCAAACTCTTTGGCAAGTCTGAGGCAAACACACTCACTGACCCTGTGTACTTCGGGGTCCTGCGCTGCTTGGCCGTGAGTCATGTATAGTCTATGGGAGAGAAGGATGATATGATCTGGACTGTGAACAAGGATGTAAAGTGATGAAGAACCAAGATACAATGTCAATAGGCATTGATTGCAATAAAATCATTTTCACTTAATAAATATGTTTCACAGTGACATGTGCTGTCTCTTAATCAATTATTTGTATTTAACCAAAATGATAGCAAATTGTGGTCAAGCACCTCTCTGCCGCCTGCTGTCCGGGAGCAGAGCCACTCGGCTTCCTGGGTGCTCTCCACGGTCCTCCTGACGCACATGCTTTTTTCCTAGCCTTCTGGGTGTACCTAAACGGTGAAAGAGACATCCATATGCTTCATTCATTCCATGGAATGTTTAATTACTATTTTAATTACTATTTTGTACCTTGAAGGTGTCTTGTCCATGGCATGGAGAGCTATGTACAGGTGGACAATGTCCGTCTCCTCCTTGGCTGACAAGGCGGTGATGGTACGATTCAAGCCAACTAGGTAGGCTACAAGGGCATCAACTGCCTCCCATCCCACAACGCCCCTCGAGTCACATTGGCTGGTCTGAAAAGTGATAAGTGAAAAAAACTAACAAAAAACAACAACAACCAAATAAATGTACTCTCTTGTCTCTAAAATGTGAGTAATGCTGATTTTACATTCATTTATCTTATTAAAATGAAACCACATTTACTTCAGTGAAATATTGTGTTTTTGAGTAAGGTGTTACGGAAAGTGTTACTGACCTCCGTGATGAGGGGTCCGGGTTCAGTGTCATCCGCCACAGCACTTGGGGGATCACCAACCCCTATCTCAGCTGACTGGCAGACAATGTCAAGCGTGCTGATGGTGTCATCTAGCTCATCCTCCTCCTCAAGCACCTGCGATGGGATTTCAGAGACCTGCGATGGAGCCAGCAGGTCACCTCTGTTGGTCTGGGCCAATAAATATTCCACTGCTATGCGCTCGCCTGTAACCAGTATAAAACACAAAGATTAAGAAAGGACATACATACATACACACATACATATCCTACATGAATAGTACAATCTTCAGACCCAAGAAATGCATGTCCTCTGAGTAGGGGGGTGCCTAAGAAAAAGAGGAGGAGGGGATGTAATACTCTGGTCAACCAGTGTTGCTCTGTGATCTCTCTTACCAGTAGATTTTCCGGGTAGAGTGATCTCTGGCACCAGAGCACAACCATGGACGCGCTGGCTTAAGTTATTAAGTTGGGACATCAAGTGAACATCAAAGCTTCTAAGGGTTGAGGCCCCCTCCACATCTACTGCCTCCTTGGCCCGGCCCATGTTCCATCTTGATGCCCCCTCCAGCATATACATTTGCATGTGTACAGCATTGCACCGCCAGCCTAAGAAACAAAATACTAATTTTTTATTTGTTCATTATTATTAACCATTATTATAAAGTGAATACATATGAATACCCGACAGTGTTAATTGTGTTATTTTGAAAAATTACAACAAATAACATTTAAAAAATACATACAATACAGTATTTCTTGATGCAAATGTACCTGGGATAAAAGCACACTGATGTCGGTGAAAACTCTCCAGGGAGGAGGACCCCCTACCACACCTAAGGATGTCCAGCTCTTTGCCACCCTTCTGGAGTGTCCCCACCTTTGTGTACAGTGCAACACCTGGAGGGTCTTGGAGGCACCCCAGGTGCTTCTGCTGCACTTCCCACACGTGGCGCATGTTGTCATGGCTCACTAGACGCAGTCCTGTGGTGTCTGTCAGCTTCCACACTGATTCCAGCAGCCCTGAAATCATGCTCCGTATCTCTTCCACTCCACGCGTCCTCCTCCTGCAGTGTCTCTTCAGTTCCCCTGGGCTGATGGTGGCCATGAGTTGTTCTTCAGTGGGAGCATGTCCGCTGTGGCTGCTCTTCCACTCTGCTCTCTTGGCCTCCTTCAGGCGTTGCACATCCTCCTGGTCCCATTCAAAAATGCAGGAGGAAAGCTTTGCACAAAAGGTGCCATAGAGAGGGTGGTGTTCTGTAGTGAGCCCACAGTTAAAGCGTCTCATAAAATGGAAGCTGTCTAAGCGCACTGCAGACTTCCATGGGTGAAAGAGCTTAGCCACTGAAGACACACCTGTGAAAAACAACCATAATAACATAGACCACAACACCTGTACTTACACCATAATTACGTAAACTCCCAATTCCCTGTACCACTTCTCCCACAAGTGGCATTTGTTTAACATACATGTATTTAATACACATGGTTCTAACAGTGTGTGTGTGTGTGTGTGTGAGAGAGAGAGAGAGAGAGAGAGAGAGAATTCACCCACCCGACTGGCTGCAGCAGTCTCGGTCGACATAGATGACCTCAGGTTCAGCTTGGCCCGCATTCTTGTACCGAGTGACGATGCCTTGGCACAAATCTTCTAACCCTGCACCTTCACCCGTCGTCAGAACACAGTTCAACACCTGGCCAAACTCATTTCCGATGTTTGACATCCATGCTGCACTGTCCCCGATCCTGCCAGCCAGCTTTTTGGTGATCTGTAAAACAAACAAAAACATTAAGAAGTAAAACAATTTCCTGTTTTGTTGTAATTATAAATGTTCTATTTTATATACTTTTTTACTGTTGAAACCCTAACCTTCTTTGTTGAATCCATTTTAAGAATTCTACCATAGGTAGAAGTGATCACTCCCTTCATCTCATCCACATGGCTGAGGATGTCATTGGAGTGGACCGTCTCGAACCATTGAGCAAGTGGAAGGGGCCTGAAGGGTGGCGGAGGAAGATACACAGCTGCAGAGGGGATGAAGGTAGCCATCTTCATGTGACGCTCACAGTCTGAGAGGTAGCGGATAGTCTGCCGTGCCCACTCCTCGCTGTGCGCTTCCGCTATTGCAGACTGGAGGTAGGAGGAACTGTTCCCACTGGTCCTTGGCTTAAGGAAAGTCATACATTTCCTGTCCAGAGCCAGCTGTGTTGTCAGGACAGCGGGGAACAGGCTCCTGTGTGCCACATCCACCTGCGAGAGTATCTCCTGGCTCCATGGGCAGACCGGCTGAGAGCACTTGCTGCAACGTGGATAGTCCCCTCCCACTAGGTAGTAGCGGCTATCTACATCAATCACCTCCCTGACCTTTCTGTAGATCCCGGAGCTGTTCATTTTACGGGAACATTGTGGGCATTTTAAAGGAATCCCCCACATCCTCATTGGTGCCCAGATGAACATTCTCTGACGGTAGTACCACCCAGGCTCAGGAGGAGATGGTTTGGGCTCCAGTGGGGGGTGAAACCAGCAGGCTTGGATTTTGGGTTTCAGCTGGCCTGTAGCCTCATATAAGCATTTTGCAATCCACACCTGATCTGCTTCCTTGACTACTCTCCGAAACTGCTCAGGAAGAAAACCTTTCCAGTTGTTTGAAGTAGGTTTTGAAGTTTGTGGAGTTGCAGTGTGGTTTGGCTTGGCTGAGCTACTTAATGGGGGGAGCAGAGATGGCGTTGTCTGTGATGGTACTGGTAGCACTTTTATAGTTGTAGTGCTTTTATAGTGCTTCTGTGGTGGCTTTTGAGGTGATGGCATTATGAATGCTGCATAGTGAACCTGTTGGATATGGTTCAAAAGACCAACAGTACCCTGCACCTGTGCCCCACAGGTGTCACACATCTCATCCGTGTGGTGGTCAGACAGGTGCTCTGAAAATTTCTCTGCCTCCACAAGCTGGTTGCACTTGTAGCACTGCACACCCTGTCCTGCTACTGATGCTCTTGTGTCTGTGTCTCCTCTACCTGCCTCTATGTTGTCTCGGACTGCCCCTGCATCCATGTCTCCTCTCCTTGTCTCTGTGTCTCCTCTAACTGCCTCCGTGTTGTCTCGAACTGCCCCTGCCTCTGTGTCTCCTCTCCTTGCCTCCGTGTCTCCTCTACCTGCCTCCATGTTTTCTCGGACTGCCCCTGCATCCGTGTCTCCTCTACATGTCTGCATGCCTCCTCTCCCTAACTCCGCGCTGACTCGCCTCGTTTCTGTCTCAACTCCTCCTGTCTCACTGGACCCAGCACTTGACATATCTGCTGGCTTGTGGGGGGTACAAAAATCCTACACTACTAATTTTCTCCAGAATGGTACAAATATACTTACTGTTCAATAAATAAATCCACATGCTACAGACTTAAAATAGAATAATGTTTATTCAGACATGTTAAAAGGAAACTAGAAAAAACACAAAAAAAGCAAACAGGCTTTGAAAACATCAGGCATTGCTTCAAAATCATTAAAACCCACCACAGGAAAAAACAAACAAACAAACAATCAATTAGTAAATTAGCCGCTTTCCGACCAAGTAGTTACAGGAACTTAGTTATAGGAACTGTCCACTTCTAAACAGTTCTAAGAACTACTCTCCCCCAAACTCGGTTTTGCTGCTTGCGTTCGCACTGGCCAAGTGGCCATAGGAACTGGTAGGATGCAAGCACGGCGACGGTCTTACAACAAACCAGCATGGAGGAGGCTATTGCAATGTTCCTGGTTCCTGTTCTGCCTTGCCGGGACCTTAATAACGGAGAACGAACGACGGCGTTGAAAGATTGAGAAAGATTGCTTGAGTTCTGTACAGAGAAACACAGAAGACGACGGCTCCAGTATGGCAAGCCATTTTAGCCTAAATTGTACCCAGCCTTACTCGTCATTATTGCATTTTTACCAGTAAGAATTCAATTAGAGAGCTTTACAATTTAATTCCAACTAGTAGCAATTACAATATTGTAGATCTTTATTGTAAAATTATAGATCTCTCTAATTAAATTCGTACTAATAACAATTATGATTAGAGAGCTCTCTAATTTGATTTTTACTAGTAAGAATATAATTGCAGAGCTCTGCAATTCAATTCGAGAGCTCTTTAATGCAATTGTTACTAGTAACAATTCAATTAGAGAGCTCTACAATTCAATTCAACTGCAAAAGTTCCTCCGGTCGGAAAGCGGCTAATAATAGTAAATTTCACCTACCTTGTGGAACCCACATGAGCACCGAAGGCTTCTCCCAAACAGATCCTTAGTAGAATGGCTCTGCAGGGGGCAAGCATCAATTTTATCCAATGCCTTTTTCCATTTCTTGGCCCCTGGCCGTTTGCCAGTTGAAAAGTGGTATTGGCCCTGGGCATATTTTAAACAGATGTCCCTCCAGTAACTATCTGGCTTTCCTGTCTTAGTCATCTGCAAACATTAAATATAAAATGGGTTAATGTCAAGCTAGGATATGCGTGTAGACAGACAGAGGAAATTATACATGTCAAATACATAAATACATACATTTTTATACATGTATGTATGTATATATGTGTGTATGTGTATGCTTTACATTACTGTTTTATAATTGTTGAGAAGCAAATTGAAAATATATGTTTTAAAGGGTACTATATATAATTGAAAATATATATATAATAAATTAATAGGAAATGTATTATATATATATTTTATATAATAAATTAAAATATATAAAATCTATATATAATAAATTAATAAATGTATTATATTATAAAAATATAATAAATAAATTTATTATATTTTTAATCTATATATAATAAATTAATAGATCTGGACACATTTGTTTGTACCCGAGGGGATGAATCAAACTTGGCACAATAATTTCACATTTTAAGGCTTTTCCAGAAAAACTGGCAGAGTTTATATGGCAAATAAACAAATAAATACGTTATTACTGGTCTTCTTATTCTGTCATTGCCACCACAAGTTAACGTTAAGTTAGCTGCTACAGCGAGTATTGAACAGTATTTCTCCTCACAACACAGCTGTCTATGGGCATGAAATGTATGACTTTAGACGCTAAATGCTATAAATATTAGCATGTTTCCAAACCTTTTCCCCGTGTTTTGTGTTGTTGATGCGGAAGAAAAAATGACCGCCACTAAGCGATAACCGCGCCTACTCTTGCGTCACGCGTCATGTGACCTATACTGTTTGGATGGTTTGGACCTGTGTTCGGATCAGTGTTCGGACCTTGTTCGAAATTCTTTGATCTCGTTAGGAATGAGTTCGGACCTGGTTAGGATCTGGTTCGGACCTCGTTCTAAAGTTAGGAACTAGGAGGCAGTCCAGAAACTGGAAGGTACGGCCACGACTACAACCTGGCTGTAGCAAGCTTGTCTTTTTACTTGGTGCCTTGCAGCGTCGCTGCCCAGGTGCCGTGCAAGAACTCAACAGAAAAACGTAGCACTAGACAAAAAAAGAGCCTCTAA